GTATGCAAGATACGTGTATGAAACCTAGGCATTACCAGTCAAACTGTCGGGATGTATTTCTGAATCAGACACAAAATCACAAACTTATTCAGGGTAGAGACTAAAATAGTAGGTATAGTTAATACTGAACATGATTGTACCAAGGATGTTTCATTTGCTGTTGTACAGATATTTACAATAGCTATAATTGCTTATATCTTTACTAAATATATAACAACAGGTATGCTGTAAAAATCCCAGTTGGTTTTCCATTCTAAGTTGGGGATGAATTATAAATGTCGAATAATTTTCCGTGTAATTTTACTTCCTGTTACTGTACATCGCGTAAAATCCAAGGATATTACCTTCCGCTCTATTTCGCGTATATTTGTGATTTACAGAAATAATTTCTGCATACGTTGATTTCTATTAAAGAAATATAGAGAGACTGCGTTCTTTGAAGAGAGTTAATCACTAGACAACAAAGCGAATATGTTTGCTTTTTACGGCTACAGAAATTCAAGACAAAGAATCTTTCTTCATTGCGCTTTGTCGGGCTCTGGTGATCGCATGGCACTGTTACTGCGTTTCGATTTTCAGCAAGGAGTGCATTACAATGAATAATGTCCATATCCCTAACATGCATAATAATATTCTCTCTCTCTCTCTCTCTCTCTCTCAAAGCAGTATAAATTATAATACAAATTATAACTACGATGGTGACACAACTAAATCTCTCTCTGTGAATAAGAGGAGTAAGAGTTGTCATTATTTAATATGAACAATTACAAATACGATGATGACAACAAGAAATGTCCGAGAAGATGGTGATAACAAGAAAAGACATCAACGATGATGACAACAATGGTTAAACCAGGAAGTCTTTAATATAGTTCACAGACCATCATTCCAGTTTAGAAACGTATTTGATAAAGAGAACGAACATATTTATATCTAAAGTTCTTTTTTATATTATGTCTTTCTGTCTATCTATCTATCTTTATGTGTGCATATTTGTGAGTTGTGTGTAATGTGCACAAATATAAATGTTGAATATAAAGATAGAATTAATGAATGACAATGACATACTCGTTCTCATTGTATTTATTTTTAGTTACAGTGCCATTTAATTTCCGCTCCCCATCTCCACTCCTAACTTTTGCACAAAAAATTCTTTACAATCTCCCAAACACTTTCAACTTAGAGTGTCATTGCTTATTCAAACTTGACACTAATGGTACAAGAAGCTTAGATAATTTTATTCGTCATATATATATATATATATATATATGGCTTAATGTGGCTTAATTAATGTGGCTTAATGTTGCTCCATTATTTTGTATCATTAAATATAATTACTATTATGATAATGATTATGTTCACAGGATCTGATATCTTTAAAGAAACGTCGTGTTTATTTAGAACGTAAATATGACTCTCTGCTTTCATAAGGATTTTGTTTAGATTGCCGGGTAGATAAACTGCCGGCATATATAATTCGTTGTGACCGAGGTCACTTCTAATTATACATGTTTACATCATGTACTGCGATCGTTTATTGCCAAATCAATAAGCATTCTTTGTGCGTGTGCATGAAAAGACTTTTTCGTTCAGTTTAAATCCTCAGGTTTGTGTGAAATAGTAGTCAGAGTCATATTTAACACCTTGAAATGTCGTTCTAAAACCTTTAGAAGAAAGTAGTTTCTTCTAGTGCTAAAAAGAGTTGTTCATCTTTAAGTATGTAGAACGAGATTTATATTGTTATAGATGATAGCCATACTTCATCCACTTTTTTAACAGTAATTATTTTACATGGATGACTACACAACCGGCTTTGGACAAAGACATCTAGTAAACTTGATTCCAAATTGGAACAGAATAGTACAAATTATGATTCATAGTGAAAATTCTGGACATTTGTGTAGCACCTCCGAATGAAATGAAACGTATAATTCTAGCTTTCTTTTCCAAAATTATTCACCGTCTCATAGAAACAATCAGACATATTTTCAAGTGTGTGTGTTGATGCTCACAAATAAGTTTCTGCTGCGACTATACATTTACATAAAAAGGTATCGTTCGTAAGCGAAAATAACAAATTAATAAGAAAGAAAGAAATCTCTTGTCCTTCATCGTGTCTTTGTCTCTCCCAATCCCCAAACCCACCACACGCAATGATCACAGCGACAATGGCACGTGTCCAACTACTAAAGATTTGCACCTATTTTATTATTTAGGCAGAATAAGGCGGTCATATCACAATGCAAAAGGTCGCATAGATTAATGTTTAATTGTTGGTACACAGAGAAACAAATGGCATCAAGCAGTCTAGTACGTAAGACCAAGAAGTTGACCGAGATAAAAAAAAATGTCGTCAGGAGATACTCTTTATGAATGTAAATGCTGCTCATCGAGGTGACCATTTGTCCGGAGTATATAGCAATGCAAACAGCAAAGCCACCAAGTATAATAAGATATTACAACCGGTAAATCCACGTAAAATCCATGTAAATCAACGAGAGGTAGCCGCAGTAGATCAGATGGTAGAACGTCACACTCCTTAATGGATCGGCTGTTTCGGTTTGTCCTTTGGAAAGACACCCTGCTCTAGGCATTATATGGCTAACAAGTTATTAAAATGTGCCATTAAAACCAAGAAAATCAATTTATTTTAACAGGAAGTAGTTTGACCAGTCAACCAAAAACTTGTAACAGCTTCGTGCATTTTTAGATCTCAGAATTTTCAAGCAGATCCGCTTATTTCTCATGTCAATTTTTGCTAGATTTTGAGTCTAATATCAATAGTAAATGAAAATCGCGGGATATATGTGTTTAATTATTCTTTTAAATTGTCTAGTCATCCCCTCTGTTCTACAAAAGAGATCTAGGATATATTATTTGACAGATCAAGAATCAGCTAAGGTCAAGATCAAGAGTCAGTTAAGGTCAATATCTTGAAACAGTATTTAGCGGTTAAATGTCTTTTAATGGCTTTATCCGTGCTTTATAATTACTACTGATGCAATAGGTGGCATTTTGTAAAAGACAATAAATAGATCCGTTTGGCCTTATGTTATACTATATAATTTACCTTGTAACAACAACAGAACAAAAAAAATTAAAAGCTTTTATACTATGTTCAAAATGCTTCAAGGCACATAGTGGTTAGCAAAACAATATTCCTTTATACGAAACGAACAACATTCAAAGTTTGTGGCAATATAATCAGGTGAATTATCACATGCAAAACAATACAACATTTTAGACTCATCCTATGGCTTTATATCATTGATCACCACTTCAATTGACAAACTAAAAGACAGCTAACTATTTTGGAAGCCTAAACACTGTACACTTTACATATTGCATTGAAATATGATCTTTTGTTCTTAATTTGAGCGCCTGGTTTTGTCTATTCTGAATTTGGACATAAAAGACGTGTTTTTACTAATACCAACCAACTACTGTGAGCCAAATAAACTGGAAAAAGCACATAAATATTTTTATTCTAAAATATTAACTCTCTCTCTTGTACAAACATAAAACTTGTATGTTCTTGAAAATAATCTCTATTGCCAAGGCCATACCTAATTCTTAGTGTGTTGCCTATTTATAAATTATTGTATATTAAAAGACTATTTATTCTCACAGAAAAAGAAATATGAAATGACAGCAGGCTGCACTATATGTACATATGTCAAAAATTAATTTTTCTTTAATGTTAATGTTAATTTACAGGTTACATAAGTATTGTATCTCTCCGTTGCCTAAGCATGTAAATTTGTCTTCATGTTCACATAATAATATAAAGATATCTCATTTGGTAACGTTCCTGACACAAAAGGTGTCAATTTCATCATGTGTACTACAGAAACAACTTGTCTTGAGGAGGACAACTTAGTACGGCGCTAATGGTTTTCCGTAACTTAGCGCTTCTGTATATCTATATAACGAATAATTTTCTTATATATTGACACGTCAGTTGTGAAGCGTCTGAGGCGACCACTATGGATAAGCAAGGACTAGAGACTTTTGTAAGGGTTCTGCGAATGACCTTGATATTGGGTACAAATGAGATCCATCTACCAGAGAGATCACAATACTTGCTCTTTGTACGTTTGGATGGTGAGAAATTTCATTTTAGAATAAAAGCAGACCTTCGATTAATAATAAGTGTAAGTATTTGGGTTGTTGTTACTCAAAATTTATTTAAGGATAATTTTAACAAAATGCAAAGTATACCAGTTAATAATTTGCCAAATTTTGACCAATAAAATTACGAAGTAAAATGATGAAAGCATTTTTGATTTCTGTACCTCGCCATCACCTTTGTGACGATTTCGCTAGCTTTATATGCTTCAAGCACTGACTTGAAAGAAACAACCCTCATATAGAATATAAACCTAGCACATAAAATAAAGTGAATATAAATCGCTCGAACCTTAAGTTAAATGTTGGTATGGTAAATTGTAGGCTTTGAAACTGTACATGAATGCTTATAGACATGCTAATAAACTCGCACAAACACACTGGACCCAACAGACACACATTTTATAGGTGGAGATGTTTTTAATTGTTGGGGTCGCAAAACACAAAGACATGCACAACACAACATTCAAACACAAATATTTTGGGAAAATGTCTACCAAGTAGCATCTCTCTCTCTCTCTCTCTCTCTCTCTCTCTCTCTCTCTCTCTCTCTCTCTCTCTCTCTCTCTCTCTCTCTCTCTCTCTCTCTCTCTCTCTCTCTCTCTCTCTCTCTCTCTCTCTCTCTCTCTCTCTCTCTCTCTCTGTAATTTGGATTTTTAAGGTAGCTATACCAATTTTGCATATCACTACGATGTCTGCAGTGTGGCAGTTTATAGTGATGCCTAGCAACGGGACATCATGCCGCAGACAGGTAGCAAGATGTCCCACCCAGTCACATTATCCTGACACCAGGCCGAGCAGTCTTAACACTAGCCTCTTAATACTGAACGTCAAGCGAGGTGCTGTTATTACCATTTTTATAAGTCTTTGTTTTGACTCGGCCGGGGATCGAACCCACAACCTCCAGCATCAGAGGCGTACGCTATAGCCACTAGGCCACAAGAGCAGTCATCTAACAGTTCTAGAGATGGTGAGTTGCTCGAGCTTTAAAGTGTAAGGAACAGCCACGATTTATCATCAACTTCCTTTTCTAAAATCACTAGACCAAACATAACCACATTTTTGAAGCTGTTTTAAATTTTGGGGTCAGGAAACACAAAGGCATGTAAACAAAAATATTTTGGCAGAATGATTGCTATCAAGCATTTCTAGAGATGGGGTTGGCCATACAATAGAAACGGTTTGCTTTGGAGAGTGGTCCGAGCTGAGCTTTATTGTGTAGGGAACAGCCACGATTTATCATGATCTCGCCTTTCAAAACGAGAAGGAGACGTCATCCGTCTCCATTATGCAAGCATTCTCTTCTTCTAGTTCCTAGTGATGTAACTGTTGCGGTGTCTCTGCTGCTGTTCTTGTCTCCTTATTGTCTTTCTTGATAACCTCTTTGCATGGGATATCTTCTAGTAAGTCCTGCGCCACTTATGTGTTTTATCTTTCCGTGCTTTTCTAATTCAGCTGCTGCCTGACCCAGTATATGTGGATGAACTTGATCGTGTAATCTTCGAAGAAATTTATAGCAATTGACAAATAGGTGGCCAGATTGGTGAACGCACCCCTTTATTTGAAGAACATGCACGGATGTGAATGACATCAATTCGGTACGCTAACGAGATCAATAACATGTCGAGTATGGATAGAAAAAAGGAGAAGATCATGTCATTACAATTTTGTTTCAATAAATGAACAAGACAACCCTATCTTTTTTATAACATTGAAGCGCTTAACATTAAAAATAAACTCCTCTTAGCCAATTCAAAGACGTAAAAAATAATGTGTGATTTAGATGTTTTACGTAGCGTTAACAATTTTCGTCATATGCGACTATAGACCCGATTCTATAGGCAGACAGATGAGTAACTTAATCTACACTCAAAGGAACCATCCTCACTTGAGACTTGAATTTCATATGATGTTAGTAATTGACAACTGTGAATAGGTTACTGTTTATATTTGTCGAAAGAAATCACTGTTGAGAAATTGTGGATGACATAGTTTAATATATTGATATTTTATTACATTGTTATACTTTTCACCTTGAGCCTTTTGAACACCTAGACCGTCGGCATTGCTGACCTGGTGCTTGGAGCTATTTACATTTTAATGGTCCACCATCTTTTAAACTATCACTGTAAGAAACTTGTGAGATATTGTCAACATCTTCTCCTCTGAGACCCGAGACCGTGTTCTTTCCAGCTTTTTCTTATAGACTCATTATTTTATACTAATACGTACGTCATGAAATATGTTCCATGTTTACTAAATAAGGGTAAGTATTCATGCTCGTTAAGACTAATTTCTTATTCAAGCACAAATAAACTTCTCAGAAATTATTGACAGAAGCTTCTTCGATTGATATTTTCCCCTTTGAGAACTTTGACTTCCAGGCAAAAGTTACTGTGATTCAGATAGATGTAATCTTCGTTTTGTCCTTTGATTTTAAATAAAACAGGACTTAAGGAAGTAAAAACGAAACAAGATGAAATTCTACCCAATGGAGTTGTTTAATTGTCGCTATCGCGGATTGTATCGCGAAAAGATCGAGTAATTCTTGGAACAAGTTTAGTTAGAAATTAAAAATGTAAAATTCTAGGACTGATCGGGTTTTTCTTCTTTTCCTTCTTCTGCATGTATTTCTGAGATCTGTATTCGACAAGGATCGCACGCACACACACACACGTACGCACGCACACACACACTGTTGGCTGAACTCTTCCCTAAATATTTTGAGAGAAAAGGGGACAACGTAATAATATAACATGTCTGTTAAACAGGTGATGAAAAAATATTATATGTTAACATTTTATTTTCCAAAGTTATGCGTCTCCCTGGCCCAAACACATCGCTGTATAGCCCTAATGCTAATCACAAACTTCAATTTAAAGAAACAAAACCGCATAAATTACAACCTAAAATCTCAATGCTCAGTCGCCTTTGAAAAGTATTGAACTTAAAAATGAAGGTATTTTAGTGTTTTATACCTTTAGAATGAGAGAATTAAAAACACCAATTTATAACCTTGAATGGAGGGTTTTATATATTTATTAGAAACACATATATTGAATTAGATAGGAAATGTACGCATATGGAGATTGATAGGAAATGAACATTAACGAAACAAGATGAGGAATAGTTATTTGTTCGGGTTAAACGGCAACTCCCACTTGATAGTTATTATATATATATATATATATATATATATATATATATATATATATATATATATATATATATATATATATATATATATATATATATAACCCATAAACCCAGTTTTCATTGCAAATCTAGTTAATTCAAATTATCATAGAATTATGCTGTTAAGCGACACAAAATTATTTGTTTGAAAATAGTCATTATTTTTATTACAAGGAACTTTATAACTATATTCCTTTAGCAACAAGTTTCTAAATGTATCACACCGCTGCATCTAAGAAAATAACGAAATGAGACGATAATTACATTTTTGTCGATCTATCACCATTGAATGGATAACTTATAGACCTCTTCAATTGAACGATAATATTATTCTATAATAGAATCTGAAGATAACGTTATGAATCTGTACTTTTCTAAGGCAGAACTACTTCTATTTAAATTTGAGATATGGTTTTCAATTCTTTAATGCGGTCTGAAAATTAAAGGCCATTATGCACACACACACACACACACGCATATATATATATATATATATATATATATATATATATATATATATATATATATATATATATATATATATATATATATAATATATATATATTATATATATATAGGAGTATGCGATTATTATATTATATATATATATATATATATATATATATATATATATATATATATATATATATATATGCAATAAACTGACGACGAACAGTGCGAATCTAGTAACTAACTAGCCTGAGCGCTTTCGACTCTTAATGAGACTTTTTCAAAGGCAAATCAAAACATATATAAGACAAACAAATAAACACAAAAACTTTGTGTTTATAAACCTCTACATGGCTGTCTCCACATGAGGTAAAATTATAAATACAACCAGCTTGTATAAACTTGTTGCGGTTACTGAAAACTGTATAATTCCATAAAAGTCTACAAGACAAAGCGACACCTATTTTTACTTTTTTTGTACATTTATGTAATGCATATTATATCCCGGATATTTGATTATATACCGCTTATTCTTATAGTAAAAATTGAAGGATACTAAGAAGATTTAAAAAATAATTAAATTCTACTACTGCATAGTTTTATTTTTCTAGTCTTCTTGGTTTAGACCGCTTGGTTTCAATGTTCTAAGGCGGCGTATCCAGTATGATACCTTTTCCTTCCTGGTTTCGGAACTCCAGCTGTGGTTCTTAGCAATAGACAATAGTTTATTGTATCTATTTTAATCAATCCCTGACACACGTCATCATTTGGTGGATCCAGTGCGCTTGAAAGGGTTGTTATTCGCCATATGATTTGTAATCTTTATATATACGTATATATATATATATATATATATATATATATATATATATATATATATATATATATATATATATATATATATGTATGTATGTATGTATGTATGTATGTATGTATGTATGTATGTATGTATGTATGTATGTATGTATGTATGTATGTATGTATGTATGTATGTATGTATGTATGTATGTATGTATGTATGTATGTATGTATGTATGCATGCATGCATGCATGCATGCATGCATGCATGTATGTATGTATGTATGTATGTATGTATGTATGTATGTATGTATGTATGTATGTATGTATGTATGTGAGAGAGAGAGAGAGAGAAAGAGAGAGAGAGAGAGAGAGAGAGAGAGAGAGAGAGAGAGAGAGAGAGAGAGAGAGAGAGAGAGAGAGAGAGAGAGAGAGAGAGAGAGAGTACATGTGAACTATTCAATGGTTTTTCCGCTCCACCCCTCTTGGGGTGGGGATTTTAGTGTGTATACACATGTCACTTGATATAATAGATCTGTTTTTAAATCTATTAACGTGGTGTGTATAAATTTAATAAAAGCAATGCATTAAGGAAGACATGTTAAATTTCAAGACACAAATCTAAAATGGTATCAAACAGATTGACATGTCGAACAAGCCAATTGACCTAGAAAAATATTTAGCTATAACGTGATCTTTATGAATGTTATTGCCGTTTAACAACGCGATCCATTATCTGGTTAAGTTCAGTGTGTAAAGAACAAAACCACAAAGTAAAACAAGATAGCACTGCCGGTAAATGAAACCACGCGAGATAGCGCAGGCGGTAAATAACACCACATAATTCAGCTCATAACAGTTGAATTCCGATTAATTTTACAAAATATTATTGCACAAACAGTCCGGTGGTGGTGGTGGTGGTGGTGTGTGTGTGTGTCTGTGTGTGAGTGTGTATGTTTAAGACAAACTTGTAGCTTGTTGTAGCTTTGGCAAATTTCATGCTGTTTTGGGAGCCTTGGTTTAAAATTATCGACATTGCATTCACCTAAATCCTAATACTGTCCATTTGTCAAACAGCAGACTTAGCCGTATAGAATTTTGAATGCTATTAACTCCTTATTTTTAATTTAAAATACGGTGCAACAAAATGTAAAGTATACCAGTGAAGACCACAAGACAATGTAACTAGATGTACATATTAGTTAAAACTAACCTTTTGATGCCTCTGAATGCCTATGCATGTAATGATTTGTCGTTGCAATCCGCATTTATTTAAAGACAGAAATCTGAGTTTGAGTTAGATCAGTCATTGTCCATATTGTTTCTATACGCGTGAGGTTTTCGTAACTTTTGTGCTGTATATTTATATTTAGCAATCCTGCCTATAAGTCGGGCAACAAGGGAGAAAAATCGTAATCAATACTGCGGCTTGGTTAGAAACATTTAAATCATGGCATTTATATAAATAATTATTTGCAGGAGGAGCATGTTCCGATATTGCAGGTTTG